ACTTTCCTCCTTTCTCAACATGTTTACGCACTCCAGAAGCTTAATATCTGGCAATTTACATTGGGAAATATGGTAATAATCCCTTGAAAAGAAATATTGTGTATGCAGTCGTTATTTATTATCAGGGATTCTGGTATTACATTGGGTAGACAGACTACTCGGCCCAACGACACCTCGGCCCGTGCTGGTTGAACTTGACACCTCGGCCCTGACAGGTCGGCTCAAATTCATTGACACCTCGGCCCATACCGAAGACTGCTCGGCCCATTAGGAATAAAATTTAATTAAGTTTGTTTTAATTAGTTGTTTTTTTTTTTGTATTTCCCCTGTTATGGTAATGTAAGTGTATACTATGTATTTTTTTAATCACTATAGATATATGTAAATATACGATAATTTCAGTATTTTCTAACAAACCACAGCACAACATCAAATTACAATCCATTGATTGGGAGGTAACAGGTCTATTTATTTATTGATTTTGTTGTTTACAATGCAACATAATACATTATTAATAAATTAATTAGCCATTTTAAAGAAAAAATGCGCATATTTAAATGTTTAATTTTAAAAACTCATTTTTTTTCAAATCAATTCAATAATATCAACAATGGTTTCTGAATTAAAGGAACTTTTCATTAACATTAAATTCATTAATTCCCAATTGTGGCTTCTCATAATTAACTCTCATAGTCACCACCCCCTATGACACGCGCTCGAGACTCTAAAGGATGCACTGCGTCTTCTTGTTTGTTTAATGATTAGCACCTATAATCAAATTACTAATGGATCGTCTTTCTTTAATTACCGTCAATTTGCCGTCTTGGAAGAATACAAATGTATCAAATTAATTTTCTTTTGCATTTCATAGATATATAACAACACAAATAATAAATATATTTTATTAAAATAATATATTTCTGTTTGGACCGAGGTGTCTTTTATGTGAGCCGAGGTGTCTTCAAATTTGGGCCGAGCCGTCGAAGCAGAGATGTCAATGGGCCGAGGAGTCGTTGGGCCGAGGTGTCGTTGGGCCGAGCAGTCTGACATTCTTACATTGTATGTGATTTTCAAGCTGTTGCCTTTAGGAAACACGGATCAATAGCTCTTTTTAATAAGACGAAACATAACATAAATTAAAAAAAATACATTGAATAGATCATCTCTGTATATGTCTTACTAGAATTGTTCACACATTTTTTGTAGAAAATGGTGAAGAAATGCTTTAGACCACTGCTTCCATTTCTGTTCAGTAGTGTTTTGTGTAATGTTACAACGGCAGCTACAACCAGACCACATATCATCCTCATAGTGGCTGATGACTTGGTAAGGACATTTTGATTTTACTACAATTACTTGAGAGAATAAGTCTTGGTAATATTACTTTTACACAAAAGATCAGTACAAGTCAGTGAAAATGTTAGTATATTTTCAAACTGTTGGATTATAAATCATTGTGTGTTCTCTTACTACATAGAGCAATAATGAAATGAACATGTAATAGATGTATGTATTCTGTAAGGTTATAATCCTGTGAACATGTAATATATTGTATCTTGCTATTTCTTTAGGGATATAATGATGTGAGTTTCCATGGATCAACCCAGATCCCCACTCCTAACATAGACAGTTTGGCATATGGAGGAATAATTCTTAATAATTACTACGTGTCCCCGATTTGTACCCCCACTCGCGGGGCCCTGATGTCTGGAAGGCACCCCATTCAAACAGGTGTGTATCAGGTTCCATTAATGAAAACATAATAACTTAATTCTTTGACAGGGTCATAATTCTACGGAATCACAATTTCTATTCGTTCAATGGCAGGACAAAAATACCAGGTATAAAAATAAGGGAAAGGATTATAAGCCTGTTGAAATAAAAATAAATAAGATAAGTACATATCAATGAACTAAATCAGGTATAATTTAATTGAATATATAACTACTGTAGATCACTAAATTTTCTCAACACCTACTTTTGCGAGATAGTCATTGACTGTTTATTATTACGTGAGACACAATTTTCACAAATTGTTGTTATTTCTCTATATAATCAAAAGGAATACCAATTTATATGTAAGAATGAAACTTTCCCACGCTCATTATCTCACGTAATTATGCCAAAATAAAGTTCTTGTGAAAAGAAGTTATTTACAGTATTTTAAATGTATAAGGATACAGGATTGTTCATGATAGAAATACCCAGAGGTTTTTAGATCACTAATCCAAAGGATCAAAATAAGTGATGTATACACACCAGGTAGCTCTATCTGACTTTAACTTCTTTGTTCCTCATTTTAGAAAAAATTACCAAAATGGATCTCAGAAAGTTGACGAGTAGAAACTAAGTTGACAAGTAGAAACTGCCATTTACATGTATTAATAACGTGACAATTCTGTCATTATTTCCATGTCAGCAAATGTTGTACAATTACAGTATTTAAAAAATAGATTCAGATTGTAGTTCACTTTAATTAAAAAATATTTTGGATTGGGGGATGGAGTGTTAAATGAGGAATGTTTATTCTATCAGGTCTCCAGTCGGGAGTAATAGTCGCTTCTCAGCCCTATGGACTACCCCTAAACGAAACGATAATGCCTCAGTACCTCCAAAAACTTGGCTATAGGCGGCACATGATTGGAAAGGTCAGTCACTAGTATGTTCCTGTCCCAGTATATCAGATCGAGTTCTATGTCAGAAAAAATATAAAGCGGTGATGGATTGGTGGTGGCAAGGGGGAGAAAATCTGATTTTCTCAATACGTAATATCGTGAGTATCTTGCAGTTATCTAACTTACTACCGCTATTTTGTGGGAGAGTCAAGCAAGCTCTAGATTTTGGGGACACATGACATTGTTTACAGTAGTAACAATCAAATGATTCGATCAATTTAATGCTGAAAGAAAAATGTATTGCAAAGAATTGGACTCCAAATAGTAGATTGTCAACTAAGGAAAGTTTACTAGTAAGAATAATTTATCAGCTTTAAAATGTGACGATTTTCAATGAAAATTTAATAAGAAAAGTTCGATTAGCTAAAAATATCATTAAAATTGTTTTTTCATTTTAAGATTGGCTCGTCTCAAAAATTAATAGGCTGGTTCTGCTATTTTTAAGCAAAGTATTCCACCAGGATTTTTTACTTATATATCCTTATAAACTCTACAATGACCGATCTTGCATTGTATTCAATAGCACATTTGTCCCCACCCAACAGACGTTTGCTGTCTCTGATCGCGAAAGAGATCCGCTAAGTTTAGTAATCGCGATATCAAGTATTGTTTATTATACTCTTTTTTCCTGTATCATTTTGCTTTATCTTTATTTCAGTGGCATCTTGGATTTCACAAAAAAGAGTTTACTCCCCTGTACAGAGGTTTTGAGACACACTATGGTTATTATCTTGGATGTGGAGACTATTATGATCATACATCAGAGGCCAATGAGGTACATACAGTAAAACTCGGTTATAGCAAAGTCCTAGGGACCTGTGAATTTAATTCGCTATATCCGTAATTCGTTATATCCGTATAACGAATTCTTATAAACATTTAGAGCGAGTTCGCAATATGAATGTTTTCCTTCAAGTATTACTACCAAATATGTTAGGGAAGCAAATATTACAAAACATATCGTCGATAACTAAGGTTTTATTATGAATTGAATTTTATATACACATGCTACAAGAAAATAGTGTCAGTTCAATTTAGCAAGTTTTAAGATCTTTGAAAGTTCATTATAAAAGATGTAAATTTCATTATATTTAACCTCATCGGGACTCAAAATGAGTTCGCTATATCCGTAAATTCGTTATATCAGAGTTCGTTATAACCGTAAATTTTTACAAAGATTTGTTAAGAATTTTGCCGAGGACCCAGAAAAACTTCGCTATATCTGTGAATTCGCTATATCCGTGTTCGCACTAAACAAGTTTTACTGCACTATAAACAGAATTCTAAAAATTGATGTAAAGAAGTGAAAAAATAAACTTATCTTGGTATTTCATTTGCATTTATTTTAATATTTACATAATATATCAATATTGAAGTTTAAATTTTTACACACAGTGTATGACATTACTTAGCTGCAATAATGTAGCCCTCTCCAATTTTTTTATCTGATGTTTTCTTCCCCCCCCCCCAAAAAAAGGGGGGAGGGCTACATTATTGCAGCTAGACATTACTGTAAAATTAAGTACTGTTTCTTGTGACTTCACATTTGATTTTGTGCTATAGATAGCTGAAATTCCACACTAAACTATTTTGTGCATGCTAAACTCTTAAAATTGAAAAGAATATTTTGCTTTCCAGGAATACTTTGGCTTTGACTTTTGGAGAAACACAACAGTAGACTTTTCAGGAATCGGGCAATACTCCACAGACCTGTTCAGACAAGAGGCCAACACGATCATACAGAAACATAACACATCAGAAGTAAGACGAGAGTCAAGAAATATCCCCCTCCTTAAACAAGAGGCCCATGGGCCACATCGCTCACCTGAGCACTGTGGCTAGGAAAAAGTAGCTATTGGTTTATTATTGAAAAGTTTAAATCCAAAAAATAGTCCCACGACCAATCATGACTTTGCTATTCTTGAGAAGAAGATTTTTAAAGAATTTCCCTATATATTTCTATATAAAACTGTGGTCGTCCATTTTGGCCACGCCCTACCCCCGGGGTTCATGATTTGAACAAACTTGAATCTACACTACCTGAGGATGCTTCCATATAAATATGATCAATTACCGCTTTGCTCTTCTTGAGAAGAAGATTTTTAAAGAATTTTCCTATATATTTCTATATAAAACTGTGATCGGCCATTGTGGCCCCGCCCTACCCCCCGGGGTCATGATTTGAACAAACTTGAATCTACACTACCTGAGGATGCTTCCATATAAATATGATCAATTATGGCTTTGCTCTTCTTAAGAAGAAGATTTTTAAAGAATTTTCCTATATATTTCTATGTAAAACTTTGGTCGGCCATTTTGGCCCTGCCCTACCCCAGGGGGTCATGATTTGAACAAACTTGAATCTACACTACCTGAGGATGATTCCACATAAGTTTCATCTTTCCTGGCTCAATGGTTCTTGAGAAGAAGATTTTTAAAACATACCACCAAATTTTCATTAATTCCCAATTATCTCCCCTTGAATAAGGGCGTGGCCCTTCATTTGAACAAACTTGAATCCCCTTCACCCAAGGATGCTTTGTGGCAAGTTTGGTTGAAATTGGCCCAGCGGTTCTTGAGAAGAAGTCGTAAAAGTGATAAGTTTACAGACGGACAGACAGACAGACAGACAGACGGACAGACGGACGACGGACAAAATGTGATCAGAAAAGCTCACTTGAGCTTTCAGCTCAGGTGAGCTAAAAAAATTAAGAGAGAAAGATGCTGGTTCCTTTCTTTTTTAATTAAAATACTGTGAAATCACAAATTTCTGTGGGGGGGGGGGGTAATTTTTGTTGTTTTCGAGATATAAAGAGACCCTATCCACCACAAAATGAAAAATGTTACATAAATATCTAACTCAACAATTCTTACTCCATGAATTCAAATCCCCACGAACCAAGTTTTTACACAAACCACGAAAATTTGTGATTTTACAGTATACCAGTTATAATAATATTTACATCAAGCTTTTAAAATGACAAAACTGTGTAAAGAAGTATGTTATAGGAATACAACTGACAAGTTTAATAAATTTTCAGCCTTTGTTTCTATACCTGCCTTTCCAAGCTGTCCACAGTGGAAATCTTCCAAGTGGGAAGAATCTCCAGGCCCCAACAAAGTACATAAAGAAATTCTCACACATCAAAAATACAGAAAGAAGAACATATGCAGGTAAATCTTAAATTATTCTAGCTTTAAATTCAACATAATGATATCTTTCTCAGTACCGGTATAGGTAAGTTTTCTACACCAGAGGTACAGACAAAGTCAGGGAGGCCAAAATATCTTGATAATAGGCCCTTTTCCTGTGACATATTTCGCCTCGGAGTTATTCCCCTTAGCTGCCATCTTGTAGGGCAAAGAAGTGAATTTACCTCTTGAGCTACCAATTTTAAACAATTGCATGCAAGAAATATATGGGGGTGGGATATTTACAATGATCTTAAACTATGAATTAAACTAAAAGGTACTTGGACACAGATTTGAAGTTAATATTCTCTCATTTTTTCTGTATAAAATGACGAATTATATATTTTAATAGCATTTCACACAAAAATTAATTAAAAATCTTATTTCATTTAAAATTTATTAAAACTTTAAAATTTTTTGCGGGTTTGATTGACACATCCTTGCACTGTCACAAATTTTAACTTTATTCTTAATCTTTAGGAAAAGTGGCAATCCTGATGTGTATTAATGAGAAATATTAAATCTTATATCAAGAAGAATAATTTTATTCAGAGTAGAAATGTTAGAATGCAGAACTACTTCACAAGTATCGCCATTCCATTGAGTACAGAGTTTTGTGAATCGATCAAACCTGTGTTATGTACACAGGTTTTTGTAAACATGTTATTGTTTTGTGTTTACGATTCATCGGGTGCGTTAAATCGCCAAAGTCTGTTCACCACATCTGCACGGACTGACAATATATTGTGTGTTTGTTTTGCTTTAGTACTTGTCTAGTCTAAATTTTCTGGATTATAGTATTAATATTTTTCATTAATACTAGGGATGTCAAAATTGTCAATAATTGATATTCGAATATTCGATAGTAGTATTCGAATATATTCGAATATTCGATAAAATAAATATACATCTTGTATTATAATATGTATACATGTATATCTTCACTCTTATGTCAAGCAATTTGTACGTTTTATGTCATTATTTGGAATAATATTTCATGTAGAGTTTTGTAAATGCACTATAATTATATTCTTAAAATATTATACAGAATATATGAAGACCTTACATCCAAAATATAATGAAAATGTTCCCCACGAAAATTCAAAAGATTCTTTTAATAAGTTCCAGATTAATTAATCGTCTTACCAATGTGTACATTGATAAACCCTTCAGATTTATACCACACAGAACAATTATCTAATGGAGAAACATTAAAAGCAATTACTTTTAGCTAATTAATTTCTTGATAATGACTTTAAATGGTGTATACATAAACAAGGAATCCAGGTGTGTTGCTAAAAAATTTGTCCTTTCAGCAATACAAACTAATTCTAAGAACTGGTATACCTCTAATTAAATGATCAAATGAATAATTTATATTATTTTAATAGACACACTCTTCACATCTTTAAGGTAATCAAAGAGGAGCGTCTTTTAATTTTGTTTTAAATAAAATCTTATTGTTGGTCGACGATAAGAACTTGATTTAATTTTTGATAAAACTTAAGTTTTTGCCAGATTTTTTTCCTTTTTGATGCTTGTATACATTAAGTCCGAATATTCGAATAATGAATTTATATTCGAATATCAACTCATCGAATGAATATTCGAATATTCGTTGACATCCCTAATTAATACACATCAGGATTGCCACTTTTCCTAAGGATTAAGAATAAAGTTAAAATTTGTGAAAGTGCAAGGATGTGTCAATCAAACCCGCCAAAAAATTTAAAGTTTTAATAACTTTGAAATGAAATAAGATTTTTAATTAATTTTTGTGTGAAATGCTATTAAAATATATAAGTTGTAATATTATAGAGAAAATATTAACTTCACATCTGTGTCCAAGTACCTTTAATAGAGGCTTTAACAAACATATATTCAGAAGAAAAATACCGTTATCTTTACCTCAGTATAAACCAGTATAACAAATTGAACTTGGTTGAATAATGAAGGGATCTGTAAATGTTGCCCAACAAGATGGCACTAAGGGGAATAACTCCTAGGCTAAATATGTCATAGGAAAAGGGTCTATCTTGTGGGAAAATTCGTTTATCTAAATAAAACCCATTGATGATACATTTACTATGCATAAGGCCCAAAAAAATTAATCAATAGTTTCTCAGGCACCGCCGCATCAGTTCAAAAACGGCCGCATTGATCAATTTTATTGACATTTTGAAAAAGGAAATAACTCAATTTTCTATTTGTCCCAGTTCAAGAAGAAAATCGAGTTATTGCCTTCGTCATAAATGCTGAGAAAAACGTTTTTATTAGAAAAACAATATCTTTCTTCTAAATTTAAAGTATTTTATAGATTAACTTTTAAATAAATGTTTGGAATAACATTATTTAAAGTTGAATACATATTATTACTAATTTCAGAGAACAAAACTTAAGAATAAGTAGAGATATTATCATTTAATTGAACAAATGACTTTAAAAAAGGTGTAGACTAAATCCTGCTTAAAAAAAAAAAGCCTGCCTGCCGCAATAAACTCTGATTTTTTTGGCCTGAGAAACTATTGATTAATTTTTTTTTTGCCTAACAAAATGGTCATTTATTTTAATTTCAAAGTTTATTTGTGATTTTTAAATCACATGGTAATTATCCCTTGTAAACATTCTCAAAAAAGCCATGAAATTATCATCTAACAAATTGTTTGCCCATGTACATATACATGTAGTACCATGTACATTACTGAAATGCCTTCTTCAATCTTATAGAACATTATGAATCTGTTCTTCAATTCAGCTATGGTTTCTGCTTTGGATGATGCTGTTGGATCCATTGTGCAGACACTTAAAGACAAGAAAATGTATGAAAACTCCATCATTGTTTTCACAACAGACAATGGAGGTCCAGCTAATGGGTTTGATGGTAATGCTGCCAGCAACTTTCCTCTAAGGTAAAATAAGAAGTAACCATTTGGGAAATTGATGTATATTGTGATATTTTTATTCCCCCATAATGGAATACTCAGGGGTAATTTGGTATATAGTTAAACCCCCTGAAAACGAAGTTTGGGGGGTATATAGGAATCATCTTGCCCGTCCGTCTGTTTAGCTGTCCGTCTGTCTGTGCAAACGTGTCCGGTCTATATCTTTCTTACGGAGGGACATTAGAAACTACTACTCCACACAAAGACTGCCCATGACCTAAGAGTGTGTCATGACCTTGACCCAAGGTCATTTGGGGAACTTCAAGGTCACTGGAAGAAAAATTTCACAATTCATGCCCGGTCCATATCTTTCATATGGATAAACTCGGTAGGTTCTAATGTCACACAAAGATTGCCCATGACCCAAGGGTATGTCATGACCTTGACCCAAGGTCATTTGAGAAACTTCAAGGTCACTGGAAGAAAAATTTCATAATTTGTGTCCGGTCCACATCTTTTTTATGGATCAACTTGGTAGGTTGTCATTTCACACAAAGATTGCCCATGACCTAAGAGTGTGTCATGACCTTGACCCAAGGTCATTTGGGGAACTTCAAGGTCACTGGAAAAAAAATTTCAAAATTTGTGTCTGGTCCATATCTTTCTTATGGATAAACTTCATAGGTTCTTATTTCACAGAAAGATTGCCTATGACCCAAGGGTGAGTCATGACCTTGACCCAAGGTCATTTGAGGAACTTCAAGGTCACTGGAAAAAAATTTCATAATTTGTGTCCGGTCCGATTCTTTTTTATGGATCAACTTGGTAGGTTGTCATTTCACACAAAGATTGCCCATGACCTAAGGGTGTGTCATGATCTTGATCCAAGGTCATTTGGGGAAGTTCAAGGTCACTGGAAGAAAAATTTCAAAATTTGTGTCCGGTCCACATCTTTTTTATGGATCAACTTGGTAGGTTTTCATTTCACACAAAGATTGCCCGTGACCTAAGGGTGTGTCATGACCTTGATCCAAGGTCATTTGGGGAAGTTCAAGGTCACTGGAAGAAAAATTTCATAATTCAGGTGTGATACATATCTTTATTATGGAAAAACTTACTTCTGAAAAACCCAGCGGGGGTATTTTGTCCCATTTGGACAGTTGTAGTTTTTGCTCTGTCCGTGTGTCAATCTGTTTTACCACAAAAACTTTATCCTTGCTCATTACTTTTGAATGGGTGGGGCTATGGCTTTCATATTTCAAAGGTGAATTACTTGTGACAAGACCTTTCTTTGGGTACCATCAAATTTGACCTCTTGACCTTAAAGTTTGACCCATCTTTGCAAAAAAGCTTCCACACTTTAACCTTGCCCATAACTTTTAAACAGTTTGTACTACAGGTTTCATACTGCACATGTGTATTCATTCTGACAAGACCTTTCAGTAGGTATAAAGAATTTTGACCTTGACCTCAGATTTAAACCCATTTTTAAAAACTTTTTCCTTGGCCACAGCTCAAGAACAGTTAGAACTTGGGCTTTCATATTTCACAGGTGTATTCCTTGTGACAAGAATCTCCTCTGAGTACCAACAATTTTGACCTTTTGACATTTGACTGATGATGATCACCAATGAAAATTTCCAACCTATGGTAAAGCACTTTATTTTCTAGAGGTGTCAAGGCCACACTTTGGGAAGGAGGAGTACGAGGGGCTGGCTTTATATCCAGTCCTCTGTTAAAGTCCAAAGGTTACGTATCTAATCAGATGATTCACGTGACAGACTGGTTACCAACTCTGTACACGGCTGCTGGGGGCCAAGCAGGGGATCTTAAGAATCTGTATGGAGTAGACCAGTGGAAGGTATTACAAACTAATGGCAAGCCTGTCAGAGATGAAATGCTGCATAACATAGACCCACTGGACAAGACAGGGGCTATAAGAGTGGGCGATTACAAACTAATATATGGGCCTGTAATGGGCTGGGATGGTTGGTATCCCCCATACCAAGTCTCTACAGACTCTAATAAAAATGATAGGTTCAGGATTGACATTTCTGAACTAAGTAACAGAAAGAGACTTGTAGAGGAAATGGAGTTTGAACCTCCATCATTTTATTCCATTCTTGGAACACCAGTAAAAATTCAGTGTGGAACCAAGCCTTCCAATGCCAGTACAAACTGTCAGGCCAATAAAGTTCCATGTCTGTATCATATACCATCAGATCCTTGTGAATACAACAACATAGCAGCTAGTCATATGGATATTGTGTCCAAACTGATGGACAAAATTAAACTGTATGAGAAAACCATGATGGTACCTCCTGGAAATAAGCCATTTGACCCAGCTGGAAACCCACGTCAACATGGAGGCATATGGGTGCCATGGCTGGATTAATAGCAGGACAGACTAATTAATTAAAAGATGTGATTTTCATTCCAAATATTTTTAGCAAAACACTTTATTTTTCTATCTTTTGTATCTATATTTGTGTTTTAGAGAATATTGAAATTTTCTGAATTTGATATTGATGAAATCATGTGCTACATTTTTTTAAAACCATACTTTTTAAAAAATAATCTTTGTATTAAATGGTTGTACTTTTGAAACCTCTGAGCTTTACATTTAAATTTAACTATTATAGTTGTACATGTACTTTTATAAATACTTAAGCATATATTTGCTCATGAGCTTTAGAATCTCAATACTTTGAACTGCAATACATGTATGTTATGCTTATTTTTATATTCTATGCAATATACTGCTGAAAAGTCAGGTTTCAGGGAAATGTTTAAAGCAGTACATTTATTTTCATATTTTTTTATCGAACACTTTGTTAAATACTGCTATTTAACTCACCTGCAGAAGACTCTGATTGAAGTTTGTCCTTAGTCCATCTATCTCTCTGTTTACATTTAAAAAATCCTTGTTTCAATTAATTTAGAACAGCTAGTCCCATTTATAGTCATTATATGCAAACATCTTCGGATTTTATAGTAAAATCTATCAAAATCTTCTCAGGAAAAGAAAGACTCTAAGTCATAATTCTATGCAATCATCCTCAGATAGTGCAGAATCATATTTATTAAATTATTTGTAATATAGGTTTATAAATTTTCATGGTGGGAAAAAATTCAAATCTAATGCATACAGAAAAGTATAATTGGTGAGCATTGTGGCTGATGAACCTCTTTTTTTCAATTATTTACAGGTAAAGTGGCATAAAGGATATGGAGAGAGAGAGAGATTTATTTAAATGTTAGGACAGAGATGATATATTCTTAAGACATAGAATAAAATATTGTGTTCAAATAATAGTGACTTTACATGTAACTGTGTACAACTAAATGGGTATTATGCAATAAATAACAGATCTGGTGCAAAATAGATTATGATTTTTCATAGCTAATTTTGACCTCCTCTCTAGTATACCGTATATCCGGTTTTTTTTCGCGTGTTGGAAATTTTGCGAAAATGGGGCAAGTTACAACAGTTTTTATTTTGCGTAAGTTATTTTTTACAATTAAAGATTTTTTTGCTTTAAATGGTTTGTCACATTATAGCTGACATTATTTCTGCGTGTTGGAAATTTTGTGAATCAAAAATGGTCGCAAAAAATGCGAAAAATAGATCACCGCATAATAGATTACCGGATATACGGTATAAATGCAAACATGTTTTCAAACAGATGGACAGAGTTTATTCAGACATCAAACATTCATAATTTTATAAAAAGATGGGGGAAAAAAAGTTGATATAATGTAAAATCACATTTTTTGTAGTCAAATTTTCGTGATATGAGGAAATACTCGGGGGTTATGGGGGTTTGAATTCATTGATAAAGAATTGTTGAGTATAGTTATGTAATCTATGTAACATTTTACATTTCATAGTGGACATGAATTAGTGGGTCTCTTCATATCTGGAAAATAATCACCACCCCTTCCCCACAAAAATTTGGGATTTCTTAGTACTTTTTTTTTTGGGTCAAGTTTCCTTTTTGGAACAAGGTTACAAACTCCTCTTTGTCATTTTTAATATTTTTTTCTCTTTTAGATTGATAAGTTAAATATTTGGTGAACATGCAATTCAAAGGACTCTAAACATAACCATGCAAAAACATGAAAAAGAAAAGTAAGTTTATCAAAATGTTTATTGATATACATATTTTTTTTATCAATATAAATATTATTAGGAAATCGTACATGCAGAAATTGTTTCATGCTCTCTACAGTCACATGCATACATTAACAAAATGTATCTTACACATGCTTGCTCAACTTACCAAATTTGCAATTCTAGTCGATGAAGATACTAATGATTGCCAGTACTGAAAATTTAGCATTAATATTATCAATGTCTATAACAGGTACAACCATAAATAAGAACATGACTAGGACACAAACAAAATAAACATCATGCAACTAGAATACACCCAAACATTTTTCTTCTGCATTTTAACTGTCAAGCTCATCAAAAAGCTGGCAATTTTGGAAGAAAGAGTCGTCATTAATCAAAGAGAAATCAAAAAGAGAATCATCAACTACCTGCTCCTCATCAAATGTGGTGTCCCCCAGATTTCCTCCCATTCTCAGCACGCTATCAAGAAAATCATCCAGGGAACTGTCCTGTGTCAAGTCATTTCCAGAAATAGGAAAGGGGGAGAGTCTTTGGTGGTCTGACCCCGAGGATTGAGGAACACTGCAGAACTCAGGCAGTGTGTTACTTCCCCTTACAATATCATCTCCTTCAAGCTGTCTGTTGTGATCATAGTCATCTATGTTTTCACAAATAGAGTTTACTGCATTGAACAATTCTTCACTTTCACTGTTTTCTTCAACCTCCTCTAAGTCTTGCAATGAGAATTGCTCATCAATATAGGAGTCTGTGGAATCCTCATTTTTATTCACATACAATGTTTCTGAGTCGGTGAAAATTGTTTTCATGTTGCCTAACATTTCCTGAGAATGACTTGGGATTTTCTTTGAAAAGTGCATCTGTTTGAGACTGGGGCATGGACTAAATGATGGAATCACACTGTAGTCACATCTGGAGGAGCTTGCTTCATCTGAACATGAATTGATACTGGAGAAACATGGGCTGATATTGTGTAGTAATGGGTTGGAAACAAATTCCTTTTCAAAGTCTTGGTTGTCTGTTGCTGAAGGTAAATAGTTTGCATACATTGGATCACTGTCACAAAAAGAATTAAGTGGTCCACCAGTTGCTGGAAAAATTAATATAATAACTATGAAACATTCAAAACTGCTACTGTTATACAGGGAAACCCCCCACCCCTTTTATTTTTGCCCTTTTCATCCTACTCATAGTATAGGTGGGCATGTGCAAATTTAAATTGGGCAAGTTGAAAAAAACATACTTTTTAAATAAAGCTTTGTCTATACAAATTAAAAAATGCAAAAATGGCCAAAATTATTTGCAAGTTTTTAACGATGCCCGATCTACTTGATCTGCGCATACGTTTTAACGCAGCGTCGACTCAGACACGTCACAATACCCTTGACTGCCGTCACAATTGAACACAATAACATCACAATTAAAATGACGTCAAATTGCGCTAAAATGTTTCGCTGATCTTGCTTACTTGGTAGCGCTATAGACAATGCATTGAAAGCTGGAATTTCTATTTTTTTTTTTTAAATATATAAATTAATAAACAACTTTGGAACCTTATTAACCTTAGGGATCAATTTTGTGGTACAGATTCATTAATTTTATCCTGTTTTATTTCAATTTGTGAGTTTAAAAAAACAAATACTGCAACTAAAAGTAAACGATTTTAGTCATTCTCTTCGAATATGCACACTTTTTTTATTGCGGACTTAAATATGCATGGATTATCTTCAGTTTTAAAAAATAGAATAAGTCTATACATCATTTGAATTGAACCCCCGAAATATTTTTTTTTCTATATATTACATGATATTAGTAACAATCGCAATTTTTGTCGCCTTTATCCCCCCCCCCCCCCCCCCCCCCTCCCTCTACCCTTTTTTTCCACGTAAAACAACGCCGCGTGTTAAGAGAAAAATAAAGCATGGCGAGAAAATTATTTCATAATGTAAGAATAAATTATTTTCTTACAAACTAATACAGTTTTGCAATCATTTGTTGGTGTTATGTTAACCCATTGCGACCTATAAAATACGTAGTTAGATAGAATAAATCCAAATTTCGTGTTTTGGCATGCCCCCTTTTCACTGCAATAAAGGCTACCTCCAATTTTCTTTTCATTTTTTATAAGAAGAATAAAAATTGCATGATATATGTAAAAAACAAAGAATTTCATCATGTATTTTTTTTTTAAATTGTAAATTTCTTTGTTTATTGAAGAGTTTTAGTATGTAATTGTGTATAAAAACACGAAAAATGGTCCATATCTTGACAGTGTCCCCATTTCACTACAATAAAGGCAAGGTAACAAATTTCACTCTAATTTTTCTAAACATTAAACATACAAGTATATTTCCAAGAATCAAAATTTTTTATCATTCCGTTTTCGTAATTTTCAACTAGATCGGGCCTCGTTAAGGGCAAAAACAGCATTTGGAGAAAATAATTAACCTTGTATTCAGTATCTTTCTATTTACTAGTTTCATGTTTGTTGTTATGCCACGCCATGAATATGTCATTGGAGTATAGAGTTTGTCATGCATGTCCCTCCATCTCGATTGCTTTGTGTTTATCTTAGTTCAAAGATCAGTTTCAAAGAATCTATTCTAGATATTTTATCAAACTTCATTTGATGATACATATTGATAGCTAGTCAAATGCATAAATATTTTTTTTACCTTTCCTCTGACCTCACTTTTCTTAAATTAATGGTTATCTAAGTTTTAAAGAAACCATGTAAGATAGTGTAATCAAATTTCATGTGCAGATACATACTAAAGTAGGGTAATCAACATCATCAACATTTTTGACTTTGGCCTTTCCTTTGACATTAACCTCATTTTTCTTAAAGTGATAAGCTGTTTTAAAGAAATCCTTCCAGACATTTTTTTCAAAGTTTTTCTGAAATAACTAGCATAAAATTTTTAGAGCAGGTCCTATCCAAGTAACTTTTAAATCTACCTGGTTCAAACTTGTATTGATGATGCATGCATCTAGTGATGCATACTTAACTAGATTAAAGTTTGAAAATGGGGCTTTTGTCTTACTTAATAAAGACAACATTCATAGAGGTCATTGCATGCAGCTGTG